TTGAAAAGTCAGAAGCGTGTTCCAATGTAAAGTTGAATTCCTCACCCAAAATCAATGTACCCTCCATGAATACCTCCAATCTGTCCAGGAGCGACTCCCAAAAGAAGATCTGATCGACATTCGGGAGTTAAATGTTAGCCAGAGTGTAAGTCTAAGAGTAGATGTGACCCTTCAGGAACCGGAATCTGCCCTCAGCATCCGAGAGTTGGTCTATAAGTTGCCAAGGGAGGGATTTGCCTATCAGGATACTCACCCCCTTAGATTTGTTGGAGGGGGATGGATTCTGAAAAACCATAGGGTAACTGTGGTTATATAGCTTATGTACATTGTCATGTCTAAAGTGAGTCTCCTGTTTGAAAGCAACATTGGCCCTCTGCCGCCACAACTCCCCTAGAGCATTGAGCGTTTTTCAGGGGTATTTAGGCTCCTCACATTCCAGGAGACTACATTTAAAGCCATTGCTAATGCCCAAGCAGCAAATCAAAGTCCCCCGCCGACCCCAGAGGGAAGTGACAAGAAGAGAAAAGAGACAAGGGGGGAAAACAGAGAGGGGAAAAGAACAGAAAGAGAAGAAGAGAGAAAAGGAAAACTAGGAAGGGAAAAACAATCGGGGGGATATAAGGTAAATCACACACGGAGGGGTAGAAGAGAAAGAAAAACTGAAAAAGAAAGAGAGCGCAACGTCTCTAAACTAAGTCTCTTCCCCTACTAAAAGGAAGAGGCGATCTATGGGAGGGTTTGGAAGGATATAACGGGGCCAAAACCCCGGGCTAGTAAGGTCCAATGAAGATTATAATGTAATAACATGACCATAAAGAGGCGTTAACATCAGCCGACAGAGACATGGGACAAGAGGTTTATCAGCTTCAAAATTAGCCTTCATAGCACTCCAGAGGGTCCAGGAGAACCCATAAAAGAGGCGAAGGAGGGGGTTTGTCAACCTGTGTGCCACGTCCTACACATATCCACAAGCCCCATCCCTCCAATGACGTGTACACCAGAGGATGATCATGGGCGCATAATAAACATTACCAAAAAGAACATCAGCAAGGTAGAGTAACTGTAAAGGCCCAACCAGTAGCGGAGCCCAACCTATGTCCCACCCTCCTCCAAATCCAAGTGAGCATCCCCTGCGCTGGGGCCCTTTGCCAGAATCCAACTGAGGGGGAAGCACAAAGGAGGAGGGTAGGGACGGCACAGTCCCCTACCAGTGGGTGGGCCACAAACTGGAAATCCTGTATGGAAACAGACAATGTAAAATTGAGTAGAATTAGTTAGACAAAAAAAGGTACCACAGCAATAGCTAAGTCCCACTTTTGGATTCCGGAGCCTGCGGAATAGGAGCTGGTGGTTGGGATCGCCTCGGATCTGTCTCCGTGCCGTGGGTGGGGCCACGAGGAGGGGAGCAAAGGTTGGCGTGTCTTCCAGCCAGTCCGAGATGGATATTGATGACATATCTGCAAATTCACAAAGAGCCTGCAGGTCGGAGTGATTACTTAGGAGAACGAGAGAGTTCCCTTTGCAGACAATCAGTGTCCCCGGTCTTCAAGTCCTAAGCTACTAGCCAGGCCTTAAAAGTTACTCGCCACCAGTTGCCCCACCTAACCCCTACCCTGGCCTTAACTCCGCCAGGTCAGCGGTGTGACGCAGAGTAGAAAGATCAGTACCAACGCACAGTACATAAGTCAGTGCAATGCAGAATACAGAGGCCAGCTGTGTGACACACAGTACACCAGTCAGCAATGTGACGCGCAGTGCAGAGGTCAGCAATGTGACGCGCAGTGCAGAGGTCAGCAATGTGACGCGCAGTGCAGAGGTCAGCAATGTGACGCGCAGTGCAGAGGTCAGCAATGTGACGCGCAGTACAGAGGTCAGGGTGTGACGCACAGTACAGAGGTTATGGTGTGACGCACAGTACAGAGGTTAGGGTGTGACGCACAGTACAGAGGTCAGGGTGTGACGCACAGTACAGCGGTCAGTATGTAACGCAGTGCAGAGGTCACAAAGAAAGTACAGGGACTTACAGTTGCTTTGACCTCTTCTTCTCCTGGTGATGGTGGGGGAGCAGCAAGGTTTCCTACACGTCCAGCCGGCTCCAGGTGCTCTCTCTCCAGCGCAGCAGAAGCCAACCAACTGCAGTTCGGCAGTCTTCCACTCCCACCAATGGCAGCTGAGGTGGGCGGAGGAAACTGCTGTGGCCGCCGAGGAGCCCAATCGAAGTGGGCACAGATGATGGCAGTTGAGCTTCTTGTTCTCCTCTCCACGCAGTGTTAAGGTCAGAGCAGTCTTAAATAGCCCCCCCTCCCAGTCCACATCTTTTGGACGTTATTGAACTGAGTTGCCCCACTCAGTCTGCCTGTCGCTTGCAGTCATATTGAGTGGGGCACTAAGATTAATAACCTGCTGGATTACTCTGACCTAGGGGCAGACGGGACCCGGAGGCAGGGTGGCAATTGCCCCGCAAGGCTCTCTGATACCTTTGCAAACGCCCCCCACCGCCGCCGTAAGCATTTAATCTCTCCCTCTCTGCTGCTTCAGCGGCCGAACGTCCAAAAGATGTGGACTGGGAGGGGGGCTCTTTAAGACTGCTCTGATCACATTCACACCGCTGAGCGATCCCTCTCTCTCCTCCCGGCCGCTTCAGCTCCACGAGGCGGGCACTCAGAGAGGCGGCTCTGATCGCACCTGTCAGCGTTCCCCCTCTCTCCTCTTGGCCGCTGCAGCTTCAAAGCAGCCGGGAGGAGAGAAGAGGGAGTAATATCCCCCCCCCCGCAATTTTCACTCGCCAATTGCGAGGGGACAAGTGGAAATTTTGAGGCCTGTCTTAGAGCATCAAGCAACGGTTTCATCACTCGTTGCATCTGTAGGGTTTTTTGGGAAACAGTTGGGTAGAGGTGTACAGGTGCACCATCAAACTCAAAGGGCCCCTTTCGCCAGGCTTTTTGAAGAATTTCTTCTTTCAGGGTGTAGGAATGCTGGCGGCATATTGCATCTCTCGGTTGTATTGCATCAGGGTTCCGTGGGCTAAGAGCTCTGTGCACTCGGTCAATCATTATATCAGAGTCCGCTGGACGTTCCAGAAGGAGGTTAAAAATACCCACAACTGTGGAACGTAGGTCAACAGGGGCTGTGGCTTCTGGGATGCCCTTTATGCAAATGTTCTGTCTGCGATTGGGGTTTTCCAAATCATCAATAAGAAGTTGTAGGTGAGTAATATGTGCAGCCATATCTGAGTGTGCACAGTCAATAGTTGAAACAGTGTTTCATATGGGCACATTCTCCCGTTACTTAGTGGATACCCTGGAATCTATGTCCAAAATCCAATGTCTGTCACCTGGTTGCGGATCACCGAGATGTCTTTTCACAAAGCTATCTCCAGTCTGTTAGCAAAGGTCTCAAAGTCTGTGCGGGACAGCAGCGATTTGATTAGATGCCATAGGGCCCTTTCACCTGGTGTAGCTGCAGCCATAGTATCTGAGGGGAGAGAGAGAGACTGCATAGGCTGTGGCGTCACTGCAGGAGTAGAGCATGCAGGGGACAAGGGCAGCTCAGCTGAGTCTTCCCCTAGTTGTGTGGCAGGCATTCCTGGGGCGGGAGATCTGCTATCCCCTGGTGAGAAGGGGCTTGATCACTGTCCTCAGAGTCTGATGAAGGGAAGAATGAGTGGGTCAGCCCTGGGGAGAGATCACTCAGCGGGAGCAGGGAGGCAGCGTGTGGTCTCCTACCTCAGAACCAGGGCAGCGAAGGATGGAGCTGCCAGGCGACTCTGGAGCCCACCGGCCACGAGCCCCATCTTGGAAGAGCACTCCGGGGCTGCTGGCAGGCAAGCTTCAGGAACCAATCGATGGCTCTGTCAGGCCGGGCCAACGGATTTCCCTCCTGCTTCTTCTTCTGACAGCAGGTGGCGACAGACGGCCGACAGGTCGTGTAATGGTATGTATTATAGCCGCGGCCCGGGAGCTCAGTGCGTGTGCGACTTTACCCAGCCATGTCCCCTCGTGATGTTTTTAAATATCCTGTAAATGCATTACTTTTAACCTTTATCAAACAGTTACTTTTATACTGCACTTAGATCTATGCGCCAGGTTTTTATGTTCTTTTTACTAACACTTTGCTAACTGCTAAAACCAAAGGCCACTACTTTGTACTCCTGGATCTTTCTGCTGCTTTTGACACAGTTGACAACCCACTCCTCTTCCATAAAATCTAATCCCTTGGTCTCCAAGACTCTGTTCTCCCATGAATCACCTCCTACCTATCCCAGCGCATCTTCAGTGTCACCTATAACTCTACTTCCTCCTCTCCTCTTCCTCTATCCGTGGGGGTCCACCCAAGGCTCTGTCCTTGGGCCCCTTCTATTCTCCATCTACACTTCCTCCCTGGGTCAGTTGATGAGCTCCCATGGCTTCCATTACCATCTCTATGCTGATGACACCCAAATATATCGCTCTACCCCTCAGCTCACCCTTCTATCTCCTCACGCATCACTAACCTACTCACTGACATATCGACATGGATGTCACACCACTTCCTCAAACTAAATCTGTCCAAAACTGAGCTTATAATATTTCATCCTCTCTGTGTTCCCTCCCCCGACTTCTCCATCACAATTAACAGCACTACAATCAACCCCTCCCCTCAAGCCAGGAGGCTCGGAGTAATCCTTGATTCTGAGCTCTCCTTTCAGTCCCACATCCAATCACTATCCAAATCTTGAAGACTCAACATCCGTAACATTTCTAAAATTCGTCCCTTCTTAACAAATGATACCCCAAAGCTTCTACAAACACAACAACAAATGGCAGTAGTTCTAGTTTAACTGGTTCCTAGAGAGTTAATCATAAATATTGGGGGCTTCACTTGCATTAGACAAAAAAAAATTCTGGAATATGAGCATCATTAGAGTCTGTACTGAAAAAGAGGTTTAATTTTTACAGTTTGTGTTTGAAATGACTGCATTTGTTTCATAACAACATGTGACTTGATTATGTTATTCTCAGAAAGATACTCTGGAGATTAAATTAGATGAGACCAGGCAACAGCTGCTGGAGGCAAAGACTCTACATTCAGACAGTGTTTCTCAGATGGAATCCCAGGTAAACGCATAAACTCTTTGTTTTCATAAAGTATGAATGGCATAGATGCTTTAAAAGTAAACTATAGTGGGTTTTCTATTACATTTATATTCTATCTGCTATTATTTTTCCCAAAGGTTTGCGTTGAAAGAGTAGCAGCACATATTTTACAGTAATGCTAAGAAGGAGGAAAACTCTGCACTGTAATGAGTAAATACAGTCAGGTTAAACAATAAGTACACTCCATAGAAATTATTGACTTTTCCAACATACTTAAACAGACAAACATAAAATCTTCATTAAAAACAGTACCTACAGATAACAGTGATATGATTGAATATTGACACAAGGAAAATTTGGCTTTTCAATAATTTAACAAAAATATTAATAGATGTAATAGTGTACTGCGGAAAAAATTAGCACACACTTTGCTTCACAGGCTGGCATTGCCTGTTTAGGAGAAATGACTTCTTGGAAGACTTCAGAGCAATAGTTCTAGACCCATAATTTGCTGTTAACTCTAAATTGATGAGCGGTAAAAGATCCATTTCTGGTTCAACGTTTTTACCAAGCACACTTGAATATGAAACAGATTTCAGTACTAATAAAACTGAACATTTGCCCAGGCCCTGAAGCAGGAAAGCAACCCCACACTATAACATTTCCACCCCATGCTTTACAGTTGAGGTTCTTATTCTGAAATGCTGGCTTCCATTTGTGCCAAATACTGAATGTCTACTGCTATTGCGGCCAAACAACTCTATCTTGGATTCTGTCTTGGATTTATCAGGCCCATGGCACATTCTTTCAGAAGACCTGTTTTTTCTACTATATGTTCAATTGCAAACTGTAATCTGGCTCTAGTGCTCTTTTTGGACAGGAAATATTTTTTCCTGGCTCACCTCACATGCAGGTTAAATTGGTGTAGTCACTTTTTGATTGTAGATGCATACAGTTTGATATTGCTGCAAGAGTTACTTGCAGATTCTGGAAATAAATTGTTGGATTCTTGAAGATGACTTTTAACTTCAAACGGTCAACTCGTTGCGCTGATTTTGGTGAGCTGAGCAGTCATGGACAAATGAATAGTCATTTAAAATCTACTCCACTTGTAGATTATTTTCCTTATAGTGTAATGTCTGATTTGAAAAAAATTGGTCATCTTAAAGAGGATTTTAAAAAACTAATCCTTACAGTGGGGCTTCCCTCGCACTGCAAAGGTTAACTGCTCTTTTTGATCTAGGGACACACATAAAGAAAATATACTCACCTGGTCTTTGGTCCCGCCTGGCCGCTAGACTGGTCCCCGCAGCCTCTTCATCCAGCAGTCTAAGGACCTCTAATGCAAGTCTAATGCAGTTTCCATAGGCTTGCATTAGACGTGAGGAAGCCGAGGGACATAGCACAACTTGAAGCAAAGTATATCTTCTTTATTCTGGCCCCTAGAGAAAAACAAGCTTTTAACCCTTGCAGTGCAACAGTAACCCCACTGCAAGGGTAAGTTTAAGAAAAACCTGGAGTTCTTTAAATGCATTGCCAGACCCATAGGCATCCACAACCTTCTTTTTGAGGACCTTAGATATCTCTTTTGATCTTGCCATAATTACTCCACAAACATAAATAGCAACGAGAACATGAGACCCATATATCTGGGTTTAAATAAGACAGTTTCCTCCTTCATACTTTTTAACCACTTGCTGTCTGGAGCAATTTCTTAATATTTGCACACACATGATAAAATCTGAATTTTTGGCTAGAAAACAGCTTCAAACCCCCAAACAATTATATATTTTCTGAAAGCAGAGGCCCGTAGAATAAAAAAAAATGCTAGTTGCAATTTTTTATGCTGCACGGTATTTGCGCAAATGTTTATCAAAACAGTATTTTTAGGATAGAATACACTAAAATGAAATTCAGTGCACAGAAACAGACTATAATACCCAATTTTTTGATAAAATATACAAGAGGGGTCACGTCAGGTAAATAGATGCCAAGCATGTCAAGCCTTAAAATTGTGTTTGTGGGGGCGTGGCCGAGCTATGGAGGAGTGAGGAGCGTGTAAATGCAGCTCCGGTTCTCACTAACCCTGCAACCCAGGTTTCCCAGCCTATCCACCCAGCCATCAAGAGATGAAGAGGGGTTCACAATCCACCCCAAAACAGCCTTCAAACGGCTGTTTGAAACACCGGGACCGAGAGAAATCGGGGCCTAAGCGGCAGCCGGGACCTGTCTCGCCTGCGGCCTCCAGTACGCAGCAGCTACGTGGGGGGACGCCGAAATCGGTCACCCTTGACCACCCGGCCTCTCCCGCGGACCTCTCGGGGACTATTACCGAACGCCGGCCGACACTCTCCCCGGTGGGCGGAGCCACCTCCCCGGCTGGCGATCCATCACGGGCTCATCTACTACCTGGTGTGCCGGAACCGCCCACGACATCGGGGCCTACGCAGCGACCGGGACCAGACTCACCTACTGCCTTCGGGCACCCCTATCAACCCGGCCTCTCCAGCGGATCTCCTGGGGACTGTCCCCGAAAGCTGTCCGACACTCTCCCTGGGGGGCGGAGCAACGACCCCGGCCTGCAGTCCATCACAGGCCCTGCGGCGCGTGTGCGGGAAATCCAGCCAATTTAAAAACAGGCAGCAATGCCTGTTAACATGCAAGGTCGGTCGGCCTGTGTCCCCCCCCTCCCATTGTCACGCTTGTCACGCTGATCCCAGGCTTCGCTGAGCCCGGGACCAGCATAGTGCCTCTGTCACAGGGGATCAGGGGGAGGTCGGTACAAGACCTCCCCCCGGTCCCCTCTCCGCTGTAAGAATGCGGAAGTTATGTATTTTACATTACTTCCGCATTCTCGTGTCACTCTCCAGCTTCAGACGCTGGAGAGAAGCTGATGAAGCAGATCTCTGCTTCATCAGCTTCTAGGTGACCCCTGATGTCTCCATAAAGAGGACCTGTCACATCTTTTGCTATCACATAAGGGGGCTAAGAAACCCCCCATGTAATAGCAATAAAGTTAAGTGGGGGGAAAAAAATAGGAAACAAAATTAAAGATTAATTTTTTTAAAGTTACACATTAAAAGAATTAAAAAAAACCTATTTTTTTAAAGTCCCCACCCATACATACACGCATGCAAACATGCGTCGGGTGCGCATACCTGCGAAAACGACGATTGCGCCCATTACGCTGCAAATGTTACATATCGCAGTGTGAGCAATAATTCTAGGGCCATCAATCACTGATCACTGATCACACTAAACTGATGAGCTATAAAAGTTTTTAAAGCGTTGCCTATGGTCAATTTTGGGTATGGTGTTTTTTTGCGAGTGGGCGCAATTTTTAAGCTTGACATGTTTGGTGTCTATTTACCCGACGTGACCCCGTCTTTTATGTTTTACCAAAAAATTGGGTGATAATAAATGTATCCTAACATAATGTAAAAGTTTCTGTAATTTTCCCGAAATATAGTAAAAAAAATAAAAACCGCAGTGGTGACCACCAAAAGAAAGCTCTATCTGTCCCCAAAAAATGGTATAAAATTAATTTCAGTACAGCGTTGCATGACGGAATAAATGTCAATCAAAGTACTGCAGCGCTGAATACTGAAAACTGGCCTGGACAGGAAGGGGGTGTAAACACCTGGTCTTCAAGCAGTTAAAATAGGCCCAGCCGCCCTAAACAACATATAGCAATTAATCGGTCGGCCGGCCGGCCAGCCGCCCGCCCGCGGGGTCCAGGGAGAGATCATCATTCCGCCGGCCCCGCCTGGGTGTCAGTGAAGACACACAGGCTGTTCCAGAAGCTTGGCAGCTTCTGTGTTCGGCCTGCGTGGCTGCGCCCTTTCATCTCAGGGCGCATGCCGAGGCAAACCAAATGCATTGGTTCGTTTAGCAGCGTAACGCCAGTGCGGCTGCACCCCTCCAACTTTGGGTGCACAGGCTCTTGTAGGGCGGCCAATAAGAAGAGAACTGGGATATGAAGTGATGTCATCTCCCTGCCTCTCCCAAAGCTGCACGCCTCTGTAGAGGTACAACAGGGCAGTCTACTTGCCCAATTATTGTAATAAATAACAAATACTTGAGCTGTAGAAAATAATAAGAAATCATGTCAGCACATGTTCCAGGCTAAGAGAAATGAATTGTATTAAAAAAATGTTTTGTTTATGAAAGAAGTTGTTAAAAATATTTATATATACCCTCTAAGTAAGGGCTTATTCACACCAGAGCAGCAGCTGCTGGAACGCACAGCAATTGCTCACTAAAGTTCCCCCTTTGTTCTGGGACGGGAGGGGGCATGTCGGTGCAGCATCACAGCCACCCCCCCCCTGTTTTTCAAACTATGATCCGGCCCCCAGCAATGTCTGAGGGACAGTGAACTGGCCCCATGTTTAAAAAGTTTGAGGACCCCTGGCTTAGACGATCAAGACAACAGGGGCAGAAGAAATAACATACGCATACTGAATCAACGAATCCCTCTGACCTTAAGGTCACGGTACAGGGAATCTTTAATCTTTACCTTGACCAGCCTCCAGGTTCTCCAATAGAGTTGGATAGAGCCCACAGAACCCTGGGCCCTAGGCACTCTGACCCAACTAGACCATGGGACATTTGATTGGAGGAGAGCGCTGTGATCTATCACAGGAGGCAGAGCTCTCATCCCCCACCGTTCGTCCTATACAAACACTCAACGATCAGCTGATCGGTGAGTGTTTGTAAATAACTGGATAGTTACTATGTCCAGTTATGAATGAATGGGAAGTGTTCTGTATCACTTCCTATTCATTCATGATTGAGGACATAGTAAGTACACTATATCCACATGGTATGAATGGGCAGGAACACTCTGTATAGAAGATTCCTGTTTATTCATAATAGGGTCTACAGAAAAAGAGATTGAGGACTCTGTGTCCTCAATCTCCAGAAAACAATCTCCAGAAAAAGAGATTGAGGACACAGAGTCCCCAATCTCTTTTTCTTTTTTAAAAGGGAAATATTTCCCTAGAGCCCCCAGCAGGAAAGTAAAAAAAGAATTTTAAAAAATGTACATTATCTTTTAATTATTTTATTTTTATAAGATTGGGAAAAAATATATTTTCTGTTGCCTGACAAATTTTTTATTTTCG